GATATCTGTTGCTTGTGCCGAGAGAGAAGAACAGAATCTGAGGAAAGAATCCAAGGATAAGGAGGGTCTAGAAGTGTACGGAATGTTGAAGGAAGGAATAGGGTTCAAGGATTACCTACATGGACCAATGGATGCAGGAACAAAGCTTAAAGGTCAAATTCAGGACCGGGGACATAGGCCTTCGAGAATGTCGACGAAGACATCGAACGGTAGACAACGAAGACGACGAGTTCAAATGTGATTGCGGCTTCGAATGCGAAGACCGTGTTCATGTAGTCACGGAATGTGCGTGGTACAAGAAGCAGAGGGAAGTGTACGTGACTGAGCTGGGAAAAAGTAGATGGGACGTACAGAGAGATGTTTGAGGCATGGAATAGAGAGGAAAGGACGGTAGGTGTACTGGGGCAAAGGAGGTGGGTTGAAAAGGCGGGAAGGGATATCGTTAGGACAGACAGACTAGGGAAGACATTTTTGAGCCACCTTTGGCAAGTAGAAACGAACGATTGGCCATCGGTGATCGGTCCTGTGGAAACAATGCTCCGTCCTCTCGAGGACGCGTGGTCAATGGTCTAACCGCGAAGGAAGGCAAAACATAAGAGTACGCCCCCCCCCCCCCCCCCCCCCCCCCCCCCCCCCCCCCCCCCCCCCCCCCCCCCCCCCCCCCCCCCCCCCCCCCCCCCCCCCCCCCCCCCCCCNGCCGTTTTGCAGCTGCCATTTACATCATCGTTTTCTCCATCGCGACGGAGAACAACCCGCAGCCTGTCTTGGACGCGACGCATCCCTTCTGGGCATGACGCAATGGCCCGCTACTCGACTTCACTTGCTCGAGATGTTGGGGGATCTGGCTGACTCCGGCACGTTGTTTTCGTTACTATCTTTCATGTAGTTGTTCGATTAGGGCTGCCTGTGTGTCCGTTGTAGCCGTTGTATTGATTCCTGCTTTTTATTTTTATTTATTTTTTCCCCATCCCTTCGTACTTCGTGGCAATCGTAGAGAGACAGAGGTGAACGATTCGTCGGTCGTGGCGAAGACATACGGCAGTAGCGGGATTTTGGTGGAATCGTTATTTGCCAATATTTTTTGGTAAACGAAACAGCGTATGTGGACGTGAAAATACTGCATGTTCACCGCTTTCGGTTGGACTGCTTCTGCAGGGAGGCGGGGATTACGACGGTTTTGACGCGCTGATCTGCTCGCGAGTCAGATGAGGGTTTCGCTGAGAGTTTCGAGGTTGGGGTTGTGTAGTTTTCTCTCGTGCTCAGCCGCTTCGCTATTTTGGCAGCGGGTGCTGTGTTGATCGTAGTCAGGTTCTTCCGTCCGGTGATGGTTCATCAATTCCTTGCGACTGTAGGCTTGGCCAATGGGTTCGGGGCAAACGCGAACTCGTTCCGATACAAAAATGGAGCTAGCGCAGAATTGACAAGGTGGCGCGGGACACTGAGTGTCCCCAAGACGAAGATGCGACGTATCGTCATGATAGCAACGAAGTGATGTGATGTGGGGAACCAGAAGCATGCCGAATTACATGCCGTTTCTCGACGGGCCCTCGCGAGCCTCCGAAGCCCTCCCACCCCTCGATTTTTTTCGCTGTTTCTGCAACATTCGCACGCACTCTCCGTCATTCTCGAACAACACCTAATGGCCTTCACAGAGCTGCCGACAGAATGAGCAGAAAAGGAACAAGAAGGTACTCCATGGTTCGGGTGTGGAGATCCGTTACCTGCAAACCTTAAATCCATGTTTGGGGGCATAGGCTTGGTATTCGAGAGGTGACGCGGCCACTGCTAAAGTGTTTGCGGGAAAAAAGACCGTAGGCGAAGTGCACCACACCAACAATCTCGCCACCCTGATTCTCCGGGGGCAACGCAAAATCACGGTTGGAGAACCCGAATGCGACCAGAACGCCGTCCCGCCAACAGACCCCGACGAATCTACAAAAGAAGCATCGTGCCTCGAATCTCGCTTCATTGCAGTGTGTGCTGGTACAAGTTGTGACAGGCACGCGACGAACCGCAACATGCCACATCTGCCCTTCACTCATTCCCCCGCCCCGGCGTCGCATTTCTTGCGTAATCTCATCAGAGCTCGCTGACCCGGCAGCTGGGCCACCGCCGCCAGCTTGCTCTCCACCCCCTCCCCCTCCAAAGCCGCCTTCAATTGTAGACCACCCACCCCCCCGCCTGTCTTCTTCTCTTCCGGCCCCCTCTTAGTCAAGGGGAGCGTCGCAGCATCGGGGTCGAGACCCGTGGGCCCGGCGGTAGCTCTTGCTCGGGCCAGGGCTGCCTCTACCGCCGCCGCATCGCTCAGGGTGCCGAGCGGCAGCTCCTCCGCCAGCGTGTCAATCTTGGACGTGTCTACCGTCTCTAGCTCGAAGTAGTGGCGCGCCTGTCGTATTCATCGCACAGAAGGTTGACGTCGGTGATGAATGGTGAATGAAAGCGATATGGCACCAGAGGGCAGTCCTACGGTGATTTGGAGCGGATACCCAGCGATACCCCACGCGTGTTTCCAAGACAGAAAAAAAATGTAACCCCCCTCGCAAGCAACAGAGCGCAGTCGTCAGCAGACGACCACATATATTTGTCAGGGGCTTCTACTACAACACGGCAGCGGCGCTATCTTGATAGCCTTCAAGTGCCCAAGCGAAGGAAACAGCGGATAGAAGTATGCATATGAATTTCTTGTTTCTTATTGCCTCTCCAAGTGTCTGTTCAGGAGGCGCAATGTACTTCCAAACGTCGTGTACCCACACAGGGCGACCACCGACGTCTCTCACCTGACCCAAGAAGCTCGCCAGTACCGAATGCCCCACCACGCCGCTCAACAAGACCTAACAGCAGGCACCCAGGCAAGGTAGTGTCCGAGCGCGAGGAGAAGTTTGTCGATACGATGTTGCTCGAATTGTCGCGATGCAGAAAAAGAAAAAAGCTTGGTCCTTGGATAGCTACAACTGCCTTGACTCCCGCAAAAGGACACATCCCAAGACACCAAGAGCAAACCTTCCTCGGTAATTCCCCATTACCACAAGCGGGGTCCTACGCCGCTGATTCCGAACGAAGCGGGGCTTCCTTCTTCCGGATAACCCACCCGTTTACAGCCACACCAACAATAATAATAACGAACTCCCCCTTGCCACACCAAAACACACGGAGCAACAACATGCCATCAAGCAGCGAAACCATGCCCCACCTCTGTGTTAGGCCCGGACAGCGCCCACATGGTCTTGAGTAGCGGTGAGATACACGCCTCTTCGTAAAGGCAGTCCCCCGCGATGATAACGTCGTAGGGGGGCTCGAACATCGCCAGTTCGGCCGCGCAGTCCCATTCTAGGCGCCGCACTGAGGCCTTGCCCGACAGTCCTCGCGGATCTAGGTTCATGTCCACGTTGTCGGCGCACTTGGCTGTGGTTGGTTCCGCCATACCGTGTGCAAGCGGTAGAGGGGAAAAATGGAGTAAAAGTCGTCATCTAAGTGACGCAGGGAGCCGGCCAAACGTCACGTGCGAACTTCGTGCGTCGGTTTTGTTCTGCTGTATCTGTGTGCGTGTTGGACGCGGGCAGACGGGGAAAGACACGGAGGTCGTCGCACGCAAGCCAGTCACGATCGCACGCGTTCATCTCAAATCAAGTTATTGGCGTGGGCAGGAAAAATCGAGCACCGGATAATTATTGCATCGCCAATCAAAACTGTCCGCGACGATCGCCAACTGCGGAAAGCGCCTCACGTTCAACATCAGAAGAGATGTCCTTCGGCGACGCATGTGTGCAAGGATAACGGAAGACTGCCCGGATGTACCGATGGAGCTGTTGGCCACCGAACCTCAACGCGCACGTCCGACGCAAAGAAGATAAGCAGAGTACGATCTTCGATGAAGTCGCTTGAGCTACACACACTTCATACGCGGTAGCACATGTACGAAGTCCGTGATTTTAATACTGGTACCAGAAGCAAGCTGGAAGCATCGGCAGCCATGTGGCTTGACCAGTAACAGGGCATCTCATCGCCCTGAAAAAGTACTCCCTTATAGTGAAATTTACGTTCCTTCTAACCGCCGAACCAAGTGGCCGAAATACTGCAAATATCGAGCTTATCCGTTTCGGGGTCCCGTTCCTCGCGGGGCACATCGACAAATACAACACGAGCACGAGTCATCCTGGCGGCGATTGTATCTAACCTGGGTCCATGTCTGTGATGGTTACGTTTGCTCCGCGAAGGGCGGTATAGATGCTCGTCAGTCCACACCCCGCCCCAACCTCGATCACTCGACGGCCCACAAAATGGTCTTCCGGAAAAGCCTGCCTGCAATCCATGTACCGACTACGTGGCGATCACACGTGGCCACCCAGCAGAACGGGGCGAGCATCGGCCGTGTGCCAAGCGAGGAAGGTTGACACGGGAGAGGGAGAGGGGGGAGAGAGAGTGGAGATGGAGAGAGAGAGGTGGGGAGAGAGAACACGGACTGTTACAAGCTCGCAGCGCAGCACGGGGTGTTTACTGCATGGAATGGGAAACAACGCAGGTTTGGCTGGCACCTTGTCTACGAATTTGTTGTTAGCGTCGCTGCCCTCTATAAACACAACAAGATTCCACAACTCAGGGCCGCTTCTGCTGCTACTGCGGTGTCCAAGCGGATCCAGGCAGCATACGTACACCAATGTCCACAGAGTGGAATCGGTGGGTTCCCGCTTCGTCGGACATGAGGAATGACACGGATGCGATGCCAGAATCACACCACCGCCCTCCAAGCCCGTGCCTTTGGACAACAAAGTGACAAATCTCGCTTGCGCTCACGAGCCACACGTTGAATTGTTTGAACCGTCACACCGCATAGGGCTAGGCGAGCAGGCCAGTTACGTGTAGCCTAGACTTTCTTCCAACGGAGAGGAAGCAAAGGACGCAAGGCAAAAGCAGCCTCTAACCTGAGCACGACACCGCCCGGCCATTGCAGGCCTGCCAGCCCGTTCCCATCCCCTGACCAATCTTCTGTGATGTGGATATCGCCAACCGGCTGTAGGTAGACGAGAGATCAGGCACGTTGGGCAGGACGAGGTTTGGGATAGTCGTTTTACACCTCGTCTCAAAGGGATGGTGGACCAGTGAACATGATGAAGACTCATCGCACCGGGACATCACTTGAAGCAACTTGGGAGAAGAACTCCGGCCGAGACCATTCGAAAGCAACAAACACATGGTACGAACTACCATATCGGACACTAGCTGCACCCGAATTTGTACAACTAGTTGGTAAAACGTCTTGCGGGCAGTCCCATGCCTCATCTTCCACCTCCCTCGGTTGCTTCCTGCTGGAATGGTGATACAGCAGTAGTGTCCCGGTAAAACGCGGGTGCGATCCAGCCGATTATATCGGTATAATACCGGGCAGCCGGCGCAACTTGAATATTCCATCTGTGCCAGCGATTTTACTGGCATTACCGTAAATGACACGAGATAACACACCCCCTGGACCGATTTTCAAAGCTCGATTATGCCACGACGAAGAGGATGTAAAAATTAAACAACACATTTTCGGAAAGCTCTCGACGAGACAGCTTGGACGTCGCCGTTTTCGGCGCCGTGACTCTGTTGTTGAGAAATCGAGATTTGAATATCGGTCCAGGGGGTGTGTTATCTTGTGTCATTTACGGTAACCGGGCGACCGGCACTACACCGGGAACCACTACTGCCGCAACATCAACACCCAGAGCTTCTAGACTCCACCCGACCAGTAGATGGCCAGCACAGCACATTTGCTTGTATCCAGTTGTTGCATAATTTCGGATATCTCAGAACCCTGTCATGTCTGCATACGCGGAAAACCAAGCAGCCATTCCGTCGATGACAGCACTAACCTCTTGGAAGCTGTACTTGAGCGTCATCATGGAGGAGCCCTGCGAAAGTTGCATCACGCACAGCGGTAGAACGGAAGGGCCCGCTGGTGTCAGTTCTCTTGGAGCAGCAACGGTCGGGACGGAGCCACGCATACGTCAACGATAATGCAGCCCCATGCTCGCAGGGTAAGCGCATAGAACAACCGGGCTCAAGTTGTGGCAGCGGGCGCAACAGGAACAAGGACGTGCCGGCGGGAACTTGCCTCCCACGCCCTTCCTGGCCAAACCAACGGTGAACCCGGTACACAGATCTCCCAGAGTGGCGAGGAAGAAACACTGCGGCGTTCTCGTCGAACATCTTCTCGCGATTCAATCAACAAATATCCCGCGTTTGCCCATCGCTCGTTTTCAAAACGTTTTCCGATTTTTTTAAACATGCCGAGGTAGGCCATTCCGCACCCCTCACCCCCCACAACTTTTACTGTCAATTCGCCGGATGCCACGAGAATCGGCGTACACCGATCCACTACGCGAGTTCAGAGAAATCGTACGCCGAGTCCGCATGAACCCTTTACTAACACCGGGTCGTGCTGCTGTTGATGACGGCATGTAGATGTCGGTGCTATCGCTGCCTGCTGCTGCTTGCGGGGATCCAGCAAAGCCGCACAAACTCACATCATCAATTCCCGCTGCTGCCTCAGTCTCCTGCTGTTCAAGCTTCCGCGCTGCTCGCTCTCTTCTTTTAGCATCTCCCGCCGAACCCCCTGACCTTCCAGCTGGTGGCGTATTGCCTTCGGCTCCGGGCAACATCGTCATCATGGTGCGCAGTGGCGTTGTCGATGCGATACGGAGCTACGGATACCAAGCGGCTACGTGTGATCAAGACATATACCTTTTGGTGTACGTATCTTGGTTCAGTACTAACTGCGCGCCCCGAGTTCTGGAGCCTCCTCGCGCAAGCGCAAGTCTTTTGCTGTCTACCAACTTTACTTCTGCGCCTGTCTCCACGTACGAGGGACGAACCAGCAGCAGCAGCAGCAGAAGAAGAAGAAGAAGAAGAAGAAGGAGCTGGCCGTCGCAAATTCTCTCGTCGCTTCAAGGATATCTTCTCCTGTTGCGTAGCTCAGACAGGGTGCTAAAACTACGTGTGCGCTGTACGCGACGGGCATCTTCGCATAGATTTGGAGGCTATTGCTTCAGACACGACATATCGCCGAAATGGCGAATGCATCGTCGCTGGATGCGACCGCCGCGGCCGCAGCATCACCACCGAGCTTCACGCTAGATCTTGGCAAGCGGAGAGGCGGTCAGTCTGATTGCTTTCTGTTGGGCTACAAGTGAGTGCATGACATCCTGGAAATGCATTGTTGGTTTTGCGAGGGGGAACATCGCGTGCGAATTCGCAGCTACATGACACTCCGTGCGTTCGGAGCTTGGAGTCGCCTGGGATTGGCAGTCCCCATGCACACTGCATCTTTCAAAGGGGGAATGACACTTGTGTAATTCGGGCGTTGCGCCTTCAATGTTGCAGGAGGAGGTGGACTGCAAAAGCCGGTAGATATGTACGGGGAGGATACAAGCCGATGTCCTACGGCACCCGTCGTGCTCGCACCCATCGTGCCCGACGTTGGTACCTACGTTGAATCGCGACCAGTCCACTTACATGTGATTTCCCATTCCTCAGAATCTTCGCACAACAGCAGTGTGCACATCCACGGAACGGTTTGTAATGTGAAGACAACAACAACAATGCAGATTTATGTCTGGGTTGTTACAGAAGCCGCTGCGTCGGTAGAGCGCTCCTAAACAGGTGCACAACTTCAAATATTGTTTCGTCCGCACTCAGGCGCGATGACGGCAGCTTGGATGACTTGGCGCTAGTGTCGGGCAACGCGGTTTACTCCGCCGGCAGTGGTTTGAAGAGCTGCGTCCATAAGCCTTTGTCCAAGAAACAGCTTTCGGCAGAAGTCCACTTGTCAAAGGTGAAGACTAATCATGGGGTAGGGCCAATGGCGGCGGAGGGGTGTACTCGTGTTGTGCTGAGTTTACCGTCGCAGCTGAGCAAGTGCTGCAGTCACATCCGGCGATCATGAAGCCGACGTTCGGTTTTCTCTTCTACGTGGTTGTGCTTTTCGATAGTCTCCAAGCCGAATTTGCTTCTGTCATCATCTGCGTGATTGTACTTGAGCCTGGGAGCGCGTCGTTCCCCCAGTTCGCCGAACTCGACTCCACACCCCCTCTCTCAAACCAAGACATTATTTTCCTCTAGTCTACATCGAAGGCAACACAGGCGACACAGCGGGTGCAAAAAATCTGCGTGTGTTGCAGAGTCCGGACCTAAACACACGTGAAGGAAATTATGGAGCAGCCAGAAGTGTTGGCACGCCCAGATCTGTAACTGGGGCGGTGCTGTCGAAGTCTGCCAGTCGAAATAGGTCCCTTGGACGAGTCACAGTACGGAGGATCGAGAATGGCATGGAACCAGATTTGCGAACTTTTCGGGCCATAGCTGCAGCATTCGACAGCACGGTCCCAGAGACAGGTTTGGGTACGCCAACGCGCATAACGCTTCTCCATGATGTCCGCTATTGGAGAAATAAATGTATGTCAGAACTCCGCAAGTCGGAAAGCCCTCTCTCTCATTTTCTTTCTTTTTTGTTCCGCAGAAGGCACACAGCAACAGCAGTACGCGGTTGGGGCGCAACACGCCCGAAAAGCAGAAACAAGCGGCGACGGGCAAGAGACGGCCACATTTGCGTCGAAGTCGGTGCCGCAGGGCCTTGGACGGCGTTAGTTCATGAACTGTTGCAGCCAGCGGATGGACGAACCCACCCGCACAGAAGTGCCTTCCTCGCGAGCGATTGTAGGCAGAAGAAAGACGAAACAACTGGACAACTGTTGGCACCCTGCGTACATGTTATCAAGGCGTTGACATCTTCCTTTGATGTATTTTTTGGTCCTTTGACGTATGACCCTATGCGTTCGTGTACACCGTTTTGGATTTTGTCGGCTGTTCTTTGACAAACAAATACACCGGGGCTTGTGCTCAACATGGGATTTCGGTCAGGGGCATTCGATGCCGTCTGACCGTATGCCGTTTGTTGTTGTTTTGATTCCTTTTCCGTAATCAAGGAACAATCTGCGCTCTACAAACGGGAGCTATGCTTATCCGTGTTGTATTCTTACCAATGGCCTCAAACGTGTACCACCCTGTTCCTTGCGGCCGAGAACCGACTTTCCGCCGGGGTTGCAGGATGGGACCCAGTACGCACCGAGGAAAAATGTTTTGCTTCACAGATTACCGTACGTTACGCAAGATATAACACACCCTGGACCGAATTTAAACAATTTCAGAGTTTGAGTGCTCCACGACCAACAGGATTCACAACTCTATAACATGTTTTCGGAAAGCTCACGACGATCTTGTCCCAACGCCGCCATTCTCAGCACCACCACTCATTCGACTGTGGAGTAATAGAGATATTTGGCAATCAGGCTAGCGTGTGTGAAACCTTGTGTCACCGTGATATTCCGTCCACTCGTTGATCGTAGCGGAAACCATTACAGTGGAAATAGCATGTGGAGGAAACCGCCGGAGAACGCCCGTTGCTCACACTCGGGGACGAAATCGGACAGCGGCATGTCGCATTGAGTCGTCGCAACTCGTGGAACTTCGGGCATTCATTCGATCTTCTTGTGCTCTAACTTGACTGTGATTGGATGGAGGCCGAATACGAGTAGTGCCTGCTTGTGTTGAGTCGGGTATGAGCCCAAGAACGATTGTGAGGCCCGTTTGTACATGCTTTGGGAAGTTGTGCGGTGTGTAGCATACCTTTGTACTTCGAAGAACAAGGTTTCCGTTCAACCGCGATGTTGTCGCTCGGGCGATGCTTCGAACCTGTCGTCTCTCCACCAGCCGTCCTACTTCTGCACCGCTATTTTTTGTACGAGTTGTCGGGTGATTAATGAACACTTGATTTGTTGTAGTGGCTGCTCGACGCTCGTCCCTAAACCGTTCACTCAAGGTGCTATGCGCCCTGGAATCTATAGCAACTGCCGCTTGTTGTTCGGCTGATGCTGCCGGCTCAGCGACTTCCGAGGGAAATAGCGCCATCCCAAGCAACAGCAATAGCGGCGGGCCTGTGGCCACCGCTAGCAGCACGACCGCGTTGATCATGTTGGAGAAAGTCGAGAAAGATGCCGTGCTTACCGTTAAGGAGGTCTCCAAGGTCGGCCCCGTCAAGCTAGCGACGGTCACGCTGCCATCCCTTGGACATGAGGTGCGATTCCGTACATCGTTCTCTGAGCAGTACAGTTTTACGACGGATCCAGGTTCATTCTTGCTGATTACCGTTGCCCTGGTATCAATGTCCAATGACATGATGGCACTCCACCGCAAGTGTCTTTCGATGTGCATGGTGCTCTACTGCCACGATGCCTGGCTCGTTCGAACGCTTGCGTGGGTAGGGAGGGCATCACTCGCGGTGCGTGTCGAACTGTGAGTCTGTAACTGCAAGGATGTCGTCACGATGTGCGCTGTTTGGCGAAAAAGTATGCTGTTGTTATTTTTGATCTCTTCGGACAGTGGAGCAACACACCACGAGTACTGGTTTGTCGTGGCTGGTGGATGCACTACATTCGCACGCGGAGGCATCCCTCGTGGATGTTTATCCAAGCAGACTCCGCCTCGTTGCGCTTGATCCACGCGACTGCAGTCCTGACAACTCTCTCTCTCACGGTGCCCTGGTTTTAGCCTCGCTTGTCGCACAATAATGGCACCCTGTGTTTATTATAATGATTGTGTTGTTATTCTATCTGCCCACCACGTTCCATGCGAACGCGCCTCATCCAGCACGTTTAGGCAAAGGGCCTCTCGTTCCCTGGCAAGTCATCATGCCCACGTGCACCTCGGTTGCTCACTCCTTTCTGGCTGATGGTCATCTTGGCAAGGCTGGTGGGGGCGGGCCGCTACTCCGAGCACTGCTGCTAGGCGCCGTTCGAAAAGCGCACAAGAGGACGAGGGACGCGGAGGAGATGCGAAGGGACCGTGACAGAGCCGTCGAGGAGAAGGTTAGGGTGCAGGAACTGCTGGATTCCACCCTAGGGAACAAGGAAAAGGTATCCATCATGTTTCTTCCTGCTTTTTTTTTTTCCATTTTGTGTGTCATCCTAAGAGCTTCTATGTGACCCCGGCCGATATTCACGGAACGTTCGTTGACGAACTGCTATTCGTAGTTGAATATGGTGTTTCCCCCATATCGCTCCTGTTCTCTTGTGCTTGATATGTGTTCGGACCACGCGCATAAGCCGATACCGCACGGGGCGATTTTGGTTTTGTTTCTCCCGGCTTGTTGGAGTTCGCCATTTGTCATTTTTTTTTTTCACCCTCCTTCACTCGTGTTATTCTGATCCGAACTGTTCGCCGGCAGACTATCTCCAGCATCCTGGAGCGAGCAGCCCTTGTCATAAATGCGAAGAAAACACGCATCACGACTCTCGAGGTACGTCGCCCCTGATGCTTTTCAGCAAGATCCGGCGGAGTTCTTGAAGGACGAAGAAAAAACCTGTCTAGTATTCAGTGCAAGTCGCTTGCGCGTGGGAGTGGCTCCGAGTTGAGTTTACAGGGCGACGTATATGTGTTATCACGTATTGCTGATCATATCCATCTCTTGCCACAGATGAGAGTCTAGGATACATTGGAAATTACTTTTTTTTTGTTTTGGTGTCATTTGATCCGCTGTGCTGTTCATGTTTTACCCCGGAGGAGCCCGGCAGTATGTCAAGTGGTTTGTAGGGGCACGCAAAGAATGCAAACAAAAGTTTTTTTCCTCGACCAATCTCAGGTCGACGTTTCTGGTTCATATGTGGCTGATCTGAGCATGTGCCGTTCATCTTGCTGTCGTCGCGAACAAGCTACCATTCTGTTGGTTTGATGGTTTGACAGACGACTTTGGACAGTCACCTATTATTCTGACGAGCGCCTTGCCGGCTACGTAAGTTGAACACGTACATAGCGTCGACTCGACGTCGGCCCTTGACTATCTAACAACACGAGCTTGAAAAGGCCGACCAATTGCATCTCCGTCCTTGTTAAACGGAAACACACCTGGGAAGCACTGCTTCAGCGGGCGCTTGCGACACGAAATTTCACTTGTTACATGCGCTTAAGCCCTGAAGAAGAGCCTCGCGCCGTACATACAGATATATATATATATACAAATATATTTCTACCATCGACGGGAATAGTTAGGAGTTGGCGCAACGATGAAGTTAAAGGACTTGTGTGTGTAAGTGACGCATATTTACTCGTTGATACTGTAGATTCATTTCGTCGGCGTCAGGACTCTTGGAAAGTCGGCCTCTGCACACCATGGAGATGCTAGCGAATATCATTTTTTTTTTTTTGCCGTTTCACCATTTCTCTTCCGCTATCTAGCTATGACGGTGAGCCACCTGACCGCCATACAGGCCGGTGTTGCGGCACATGACATGGATCACCAAATGGTTGCGTCGGCTGCATAATCGTAACAGGCCACACATTTCCGACTTCTCCGAAGCTATATTGTTGCTTGAAACTCGTTGCTTTCTTATCTCGCACCCGACGTTGATGTGCTATTGTCAGTTCGAAATTCAGCAACTGGAGCAGAGCGGCAGGGGCGATTCAGAGGGAGGCGAAGACGCATCCTCCGGTAACGACAGCAACGATGACGACGAGTACAGAGACGAAAGCAAGGGTGGTCGGGAGGGGGACGACGATCCTGGTGACGAGGGTACCCCTCCCCCCGGAACGTGAGCTTCAATCTGTTTGCTGACACCCGCATAGCTGGCCCATCCACCCCGTTGCTCGCACGTAGCGATTGCTCATTTCGCAGTCGATTTCTTCTCCAGCCCTGCTTGTCCTCCATGTTTGGTACCACGTATCGCATCGACTTCATGCGGGTGATCTCCTCCACAAAGTGAAACGCGTTGAGTACACGATGTTTTTCGGCATGCTTATTCCTTGGAAGCGGCAAGCACGGTCAGAGCACATACACGCCGGAACCCGAGCTTCATGCCGTCGTGGTGAATCGAAGCTCGTTCCTCGGAGACATGATGAGTCCCCTGAGCTTTTTACACGGTCGGTGTTCGCTGCCCTCAGTGCCTCAGCGTTTACGTTTCGTTCCTGCAGCGCGCCTGTCCTGTTCACTATGTATCAACCTGTATCTCTTTTACAAACATGCTCACTACGGGACATGTGTTTGCAAACGGTCGGACAAGTCCAAGATGTGGTTTGGTTTGTTTTTCGTCATCCATTTGATACGGCTGGTGATTGTCCTTTTGAGCGAGCATCTTCGCATGGTATCTCCTGGGATGGTCAAGACGACCAATGGCCGCCCCCCCCTTTTTTTGTCTGATCAATGGTTGACGGGAAGAAACTCAACTCTTGCTGTTCTCTAGTGATCCGTTCCGCCGCCGCTAGAATGTAGGTTGTTGAAGCACGATCGGGGCAGTGTACGGGCGGTGCGTTTGCATCTTTCTGCCCGTTGATATTTGCGTTCCAACGACACGTAGCGACACATATTGCCCGGTGGTCTGTGCAGTCACTGCGGTGGAAGTACGCGGGGGGATTGGTTCGTGAGAAGCACCGCCGTGTCTGCAGTGCCAGACAACCAACATCTCCACCCTCGCACACAAGACACGTGATTTGCCACTGTTGTGGGAGTACTAGTTGCACTCACAAAGGGACGCTGCCTTGCCGCTTTGGCTGTCCACTTGCTCATGCTTATTCGTCGCGATCACCACGTGTGGAATCCCAGCGGTAAGGGCAAGGCCAAGGGAAAAGGCAAGGCGGAAAATGCTCAACCTCGAGCCGGCGTAACTCCTGCGACCGCTTCCTCGAAACCGAGCGACAAGGATGCAGGAAGGGTAACCACAGGAGGGGGACAAAAGTGGGGGGGTGGGTCTCCTACCGGAAAGGGCGGCGGTGCTGGTCGAGGTGGGATCAATGTGAAGGTCAAGACGGAGCCTGGGTTTATGGGGGCCGGGGGAGGTGCTCTCGCGGTGCCGCTTGGAACACAGGTGCGATGAGGATGTGGGTTCAGTGTTATGTAGTTTTGACTATTGAAGGCCCGCGATTTTTTTTCTTGTTTTCGTTTGTTCCAAATTCCTTTGTTTTCGGCGACGTGGCGGCACGTACCATTGGTTTCTTAACCTGAGCGTATGAGAAGTGTGTTTGGATTTTTTCATGTTTTCCCGCTGACTCAATCTGGCGGACCCACGCCACGACGCAACAATAACTCTGGTCTCCCGTAGTTGGCATCGCGCTATTTTTCCAACCCTCACATACGACTGTGTCTCGACCATGGACACGATAGCGGGGGGTTGGATTAGCGTGGATCGAAGACGGGGTTGCGTTTGCTGCTGAGCCCGATATGATCACCAAAGCTCAGGGGTGACGGGAAATTGAGAGCGAAAGTAATCAATGTACCATCGAGATTCGGGAAACCATGTGTCCCCACCACGAGTGAACCCATAACTACCCAAACGTTCCTGGGCCTGTTTGCTTATTTCGGGCCGAGACAGCTTTTGGGTAGACAATCACGGTAAGGTCCGGGTTAGACGAGTGAAGCAGTGCACAATGGTTGGCCCGAGGGCTTGTCGTACTCGTTCATGTTTGTGAAAAAGGTGAACATGAAGGTAGGGACTCTGTGTGCGCTGTGATGAATCCCGGAAAACATGTCCAACAAAATGAACTCATCGTTTCCCCGGGAAGGAGGTTGGGCACATGGAGAGTAGTAGGGACAGAATTCTCCATAGGAGAGAAAGGGGGGCATACAGAGGAGCGTACTGCACACTTGGGAAGCTCTTGTTTGATTGCCTACCGAAGACTGTCAGCCTGCATGCTATGCTCTGGGTATCGGCGATGAGAACTTTTGTGGTATTTTCGCGTTGTATACACTTCATGTGAGCACTGTGTAGAACATATCTTCAAAACAAGCAGGGATCGCTGTTGGGAGCCACGGTAGAGCAAATGGAACACAGACCAGGCTTAGCACCCGTTGTGGTCGATTTAAAGCCCCCCAACCCCCCGCCCCTGCGTGTGCCTGCGTTTGTGGGCGTCTAGGAAGTATCGGGTGAGGACCTCTCGAAAGTGGTGGACGCCAAAATCAAGCTAGAGGGAAACGACGGTCGTGACGGCAGCGGGGCCAACCGAAAGCGCTCCCGGCCGCAAGGCTCGGTGTCACCGTCTCCGAACGAGCCGGGATTTCGCGACCCAGACGCCGCTGGCGGCGACAGCGGCAGCGGTGGTAGGAGTGGTGGTGCCCGTGAAGCGGCCATGTACCTCGGAAGTGATGACGACGAAGGCATAGACGAACACCGGACACTCGCGAAATCTCGGAGGAGAAGGGTTCGGAAGAAACCTGCTGCATCGACCGCTATTGCCGAAGGAGGCAGGGGCGGTGATGGCAACCACGGCTCAAGAGAAGCGGCGGCGGCGGTGCCAGCGGATAGCCGGCCGACACAGGTGAAGGATAGAGGTACTTTGCGGGCTTTGACGGATGTCATTGCATTAGTAATGTCAAAGAAGTTGCGCGTTATCAAACGTGAGCTGGTGCCAAGTTGTGTACTGTGTCTAACTCCTGCATCTTTATGGCGACAAAGCCGGTGCTGTCGGTGCTGGCTCAGTGCTCTGGTTGATGCATCCTACCAACGCATCGAGTAGCATCCTTCGGAGCTCACGATAGACCGACCTGCGCCCGGCGGCTGTTGTGCGAAACGGTCCCCATTGCGTTTTGCCATGTCCTGCCTTTTTCTATGTCGCTCTGGTCTTGTTGAGCAGACCACATTTGCATGGACCGATATGCTGGTTGACGACGACAACTCGGACGACTTGGACGGCATGCGCTAAGCAAGCCCCATAGGCACGTGCAAGACAGAATGTTCACGCTTGCTGCCAGTAGGTGTATTGCGCGAGTTGAATCGAATCGTTTATCGTGGAGGAGTCCGAAAAGCCGAAGCCGCTTTACTTGCTGATGTATTATGAACATGCTTCGGCATTGTCCTCGCGTTTATAGTCAATTCAGTGACGGCGCGTGGATTGTGTTCGTCATGATATGTGTCGGTGGTGTGTAACGTGACCGGAAGAAAGGCTACGTCTGTAGCCTCCGCGTTCTGGGATTGGCCTCACTTTTGTTTTTCCGTCTCCATGTCTCTACAGGATTCGAGAATTTGTCTGGGTGGCTGCTTTCCTTGCCATCCCGTGGATACTAACGCCATCGTCGTGCCTGGACTATAGTACGTTTCTGTATCGTTTAATACCGTCTGAGTATCTGTCTGCATCTTGAGTTGGCCGGAAGCGCCATGTTTTGGCATCACATAATCTTCCTCTGCGAGATATCTATGCTGTTCTTTCTGGAGCTCCAAGCTCTCTGAGCTATCACACTCGACTAGCACCGGTGGGCGCCAGCCTCTGCTGCCACACGCAAGGGTGTGTAGGCATCGAAGGTGGAGCGTGTCCCTGTATGGCCCGCCCTTCGAACCAAAACATGCACACAGTAGTTCTCGAACTTGGGAGTCTTCAGTTTGCCAAGCAAGCAGGTGGCTTTTATTTCGGGCGCCTCTGAGGGGGCATGTTGCGTTAGCATACTTCTGGCAGCCCTGTACTCCATCAGCAATGCGTGTTTGCTGCTTCGACCTTCACTACGCCGACTACTTCGCGGCCGACCCTGGGGTAGTATATCCACTGAGTTGGGTGCACTCCATCTAGATATGTTCATCAGGGCCTGTGACCTCTCGGGTATGGGCTATTGTCGTTGGAGACTGCAGGGCTCCATCCCGGGTGCTGTGAATGTTGCTCCCCAATAGAAGAACATAAAGGAAGAAAACCTTACATTCAGCTGAGAGGGTGTCGTGCAAAAGGCATCAACTCGACACCTTCCAGCAGACGCTGAAACGAAACCAGCTCCATCTACCTCGACCACAAGGCCGCTGTTTGGGGAGCGTTCAACAGGGGCTACCCGTAGGCTGACTAACAACACACGAGATTGTGGGAGAACTGGTTGACTTGGGAACCAAAAATGGTGAATTTTCTCAAGACCATCTCCATCCGTTTCTTTCGGGCAAAATAAGTCCGCGCCCAACCACGACCTCCAGACAACGAGACGTGCCGCGTTCTAGTGAACCAAGCACGTGCACCAGCCACACATGAACTCGTGAGTGACACGGCAATGTCTTGCGCGTTTGCCAGTTTGTCCTGTTGAGTTCGCTTGACGAACAAGGGATATAATGACTAATTAATAGAGTAGGTTTTGCTTGTGTGTGAACGACGAGTCAAGGTGTACTTCCCTGGACCGCACGCTCGCGGGTTTGAACGCCGTGCTGCCCCGCCCGCAACACCCACATAAGCCTACGCAGGCTATTTTTTTCAGGCGAGCGCAACAACACGAAAAGAACGTCTACCCTCCCCCCCAAAGTCATAGTTCTCTTTCCAAGATCTACAGACTTTGTCGTCCCGATGCTATCAACGCGTCATCCCGCGACAACGTGTTCGTCGTTGACACTTCTACACAGTTGGTCAGTATTTTTTATTTTCTAGCACAAGACTCCACAGTACTCTGTAGCGATGCCTGAAAAACTGCCCCCCATACATAGCACGCTTGGACACTTCGTGATCGTGCCAACCCCGCCCCCCAAAACCCTACTAATCGCTTTCGCCCTCTCGCGCACGTACCTGTGCCCTCTGTTGCAGGTGATTTCCAAGCAATTTTCATTTACCGAAACTCCACTAATAACCAAGTCACCAATGTGATATGCGCGCTGTTCGCTGGGCATCATGGGCATCGACACGATCTACTGAGTCCCCCTAACTGTCGTTGAATCGCTGACATGAAACAGATGCTTGTCAGCGGCAAAAAGTGCACGTGCTGCAATTACAAGAGAAATGGAGAAGCACGAAACCGATTCCGACTGCACTATGAGTCATCAGGGAACCCCCGGGAGATAAAATTCATGCCAGGTGATCTTACCCTTTACCCCTATTCCGCCGATCGACACACACATTCACGCTTCTTGGTCGGGTGATGCCGACTCAGCGCCGCATAGCTTTGATTGTCCGATGCATCTTGAGGTTCCCATTCCGGTGATTCGGATATAGCACGGCATGGGTTTTGACCGTCGGGGGTGCCGTCGGCTTCCTGGTCGGGTTGCACTGTTTCAGGGCCGTGTAGCCACTGATCGTCCGACGCGCCTTGAGCTTCTCGGTCTGGTGATGCTGGTAGAGGACGGCATGGGCTTTGCTCGTCCGGGGTGCGTCAAGCTTCGGCATCGTTTTACATAGTTAATGATCTGTCGCCCCGGTGGTCTAGTTAGCATCCTCGAAACCTTCTAGAGGTCAGGTCAGGTGTTCGAATCCCGGCGCAAGCGAGCTTTTCTTGCAAAGTGACTTTTTCTCTCCCTCCCGGTCCTGGCCTAGTCGATAGCACTAGTTCGTGTGTACACAGAGGGAAGAGAGTGCTGAACTGTTCTCACATTCAAAATCGAAGGCAACGTACCGCAGGAGGGGAGGGTAGAGAGGGGCCCTTCTGTGCGACCAGGGTTTGGAGTAAATGGCACTACAGTAGTAGTGCTGTGAGCGCTGATTTGAAGTGAAGACAAAACAAAAAAATCGATAAAAAAGATTCCGCCTGGATTGCGTTGAGCTTCCCCTTCGGTTGATGACCACTCTACATATCTCACTATCTGACATGGTGCTATTGAAGCATGCCAACCCACACATTGCGCTTAGCAAAGCAATCGTCCCTGTCATGGTACTGCGAACGATATTCAACGCCGGGGGACCTGGAAAGCTGTCCGCGGTCAGCACAAGAGCCACAAAAGGCCATGACGTCCGTTGCTCCAAACAAGAGAGGTTGGCAAGTAGAAGACCCAAGTACTTTTCGTTCATGGAAGGTGAGAGACACGAGTACATACCGACGCAGTTGACGAATCCGGTAATCACCAACCACGTGATAGCGAAGACCGACCTCCACAAGTTCTCGAGGTGAAACCAAGGTTGAGCTGTAGTGTTGCAAACAACGGGGGACAAATATGTCCGCCACTGCCTCCGCAAAAACCACGTCAATTTCCAAAGTACAATCGCGGTCGACAGCACCTTCGTCGAAGGGGATTTTATTCACACACGAAGTGACGGCTGGACCAACCAGGCACTCGTTGGCAGCAGTTACCCCGAACAGGAATATGTTCTGGGCAGACTGTTCCACAAGAACAGAACAAGCTGGCGAAAAACGCTTCCGGAACTAACTGCGTTTCCGATCGCGACGAATAGAAAACGACCACCGCTGCGAGGGAGGCGTCCGGACAAAGAAGCCACCAAACCAACAAGAATCAACGCCCCGATCATGACGCTCTCTTTCGAGTTGGGTGCCGGCAAAAAATGCAATTGTGTTCGGCTCTGGACTACTACACCTGGGCCATCAAGAGCAGGCAACAATGGTTCTCAACGCCTCCATTGTTCTTTCGACACCAAGTAGCCTTCCTTGTTGGTAGCTTGTTGCTGTCACATTGATGTGAAACTCCTCGACGAGTTTCGTCGGCGTTGCCAGTCTGAAGCTTTCCTTGTTTTGTACGGGAAGCCGCAGCTGCTGACTACGATAACACTCTCGAGCACGAAACACGCAAAAACAAAGTGATTGAAAAATGAAGACGTCCACGGCGATGAAGACCTTGAAACTCCCGGGTTTCCCCGTCCGCCAATGTATTTCCGTTTGCGCCAATTTTTCCGGTTGGGCGATTTTTTTCCGTCTGGGCCAGGTCCCGACGGAAAAATCCACCGGATATTTTTTTGAGGATTTTCAGTTTTTTTTGGCCGGAAGAAATACGCCGGCAACTTTTTCCGTCGAGGACGGGACGAAGCGGCACGTACGAGCGCACGCAATCAAGCGCTCCCTGCGCAGAAGGCTGAGCAGCGGAGACTGGGGTTTCTTTCACAGCAACGTGTGTGCAGTTGTTGGGTCGGTATTCGGGCGCGCGAGAAGGTTCTTGGTGCCCGCGTGCGGCGGAAGAGCAGCTCGCGTGTTATTTTGAACTGGATCATCTTTGATCGAGGTAGGAGGGCCTCTGGAAGAGGAGAGAGGTTCGCGACTCAGCGCGAGGCGGCAGGAGCCCAGGCGGCAAGAGCCCAGCCGTCTGTGAGTGGGTAGGAGGAGAAGGAGGAGGGGGCGTCCCTGAGTGGTGGCATGGACAGCAGTGCGACCGGAGAGGAGAGCGACTCCTCCAGCTTGGTCGTAGACGTGGTCCCTACCTCGCGTGCACGTGGAGGAGGTACGCAGGAAGTCAGCAGTGAAGCCTCGTCACTTTTGTCGAGGGGTTCGAGCGTGTCGCCTCCCACTCGTTCATCCCCGCGTCTGCAGCGTAGGCGAGGCGAGAACGCGCCAGAGAACGACCCTTCATCTCCATCGAGTGGCACAGACGAGTCGACATCATGAAATGGTTCAAAGGCACCGTCGATGAGAAACCGTTGGTTCTTCTCAACAGGCACAAGTCGAGCCGTCACTTTTTTCCCGGGAAGCAGGGTAAACGGTTTTTTCTAACGGGTTTCTATGGGGAAACCCGTGACTACCAAAGAACTAAGTCCGAAGAAAACCTACCTCAAACAGGATACTACAAAAAAAGAAGTAAACGCAAAAGAATCACTCAAAAACCCTATGGGCTGGCAGGGGGAGACGGCCGGGGCGCAGGAACTCGCGGAGGGAGCGGCAGCATCGGTAGCAGCATCAGCGACGAGAGTGGTGACCCCCGGGGGCAGGGTTTTCCCCGCGGTGGCGGGAGGAGACGGCCGGGCAGCAGGCTCTCTTGGCGGGACCGGCAGCGTCGGCAGCAGCACCGGTGTCGAGAGGAGAGACCACCGGCAGTCATGTGTAACCCGCGACGCCGGCCGTCGGGACGGCCGGGGTGCAGGCACTCGCGGCCAGATAGAGCGGTACCATCGTTAGCAGCACCAGCGGCGAGAGTGGTGACCCCCAAGGGCAGGGTTTTCCCCCCGCCGTCGCCGGCGGGGGAGATGGCCGGGCAGCAGGCTCTCGTGGAGGGGGCGGCTATTAGATATATTGGGGGTACTCGTAGCATAGTATGACGGTTGAGATGTTAAGACGGTCTGGAGATGCCGGTGGCTACCTGGGGGTACCTGGGGGTGCCGGCGCGTTGATTTCTAAGTGTACCCGAAAGTGGTGATAAAGTACCCGGGTATTACCCGTTTCTGGTTACGTCTCTTGCAGAGACAGAGGCGTTGAAATCTGAGTTTTGTGAGGAGCGGAAGATGAAATATATGTTGGCCAATCAGAGTGCAGCAGCATGGAGTCAGCGTGAAGTGTCTGA